TTCACTTTATTTTTAGTGTATTTAAGGTAAACAATAAGCACTAGATGAAGATGATGGCAGTAGCTGTCAGAAAACCAGTCTTTTTAGGTTTTCTGTGTGTGGCAGTGCAAGCTCCATCTATTTCACACATTCATAATTTAATAGTAATTACAAATTCTAAATAATCGCTCCCTGAGCACTAGCTAATCTTCATTAAACATCTAAATACCAATGACTAAAACTGGGTCAGTGGCCCACAGTGGAGAGAAGGAGCCATGCCAGACTCCAGCAGCACAGGATCTGAGCTCCCTGGCTTGGAGAAAGAGCCCATTTGCTGCATACTATATGGTGCATACAGAGGGTCCCATCCTCTACACACAGCAGGAGAGCTCCTTCAGCAGCCAAGGACATGTGCTATGTTGCTAGCAAGGAGACTAGTCCTTAATCTCCGGTGGGACAGCAGGGCTTTTCAGGGAGTGGGGATCTGAGAAGGCATCTGCTGTGCTGTTCTGGAATTGCCAATGCCAGGGGCTGAGTCCCAAGGGTAAGTGGTCAGAGATACATGCCCACCACATGAAGAATGTCTTGCCAGTGTGAACTGCTGTGTGGTTGAAGGAAAAATCCTGCTTCTGCAGCTCCAGTCCTGTCTCCAGCAGGAGAGCAGGGTTTTCTTCCACAATCCACCACAGTAACCTGAAATGTTCCTTCCAAGTCCCATGTCCCATTCTGTTCTCCCTGCATATGCTTCTCTCACTAGCCTTCTGGAACCCCCCTTTAGGTGCTTGTTTTTGTTTTTTTTTCCCTGGAAGTCATGAAACTCTTGTTTCAGAACACTGATCTCTGCAGACAGTGCTTCAGTCCCTCACTGCTAGAGAGGGTAAATAAAGCTAAAGAGCTCCTGTTCTGCAGCTTTGATGCAGGAAAACTACAGTGGAAACAGAGTTTATACAACCTCTATGTTTCATGCCTCCTGCCCCTAACACCTCTACTGATGAAGGATATCTCTGGAGCCTCTTTTGCTCCGTACAACTAAACCTATCTAGCCATGCAGCTTCACTGTTAATAAACCATGAAATAGACACTCTGAGCCAAGGGCACATACCTTCAGTGGAACTGCAGAACACTGACATGCAGCAGAACAGTCTGGGTCCACAGCATGGACCCTGCCTGTGTGCAGAGGTCCTGCCTGATGGGCTGTCTGGTCCTTTTCCTCCTGATGGACTGATGATGATGACTGATTAGCCACAACAGCATCAGTCTCCGTTTCAAAAGCAGCAGCAGTTTCCAGAGAAAGTAAACCATCTCAGGCAAATACAGTGCTGAAGTGGTTTGCAGTAAAGAACTACAGAAGCAGAAGACATGGTTCAGCTTGGCTTACTAGTGCATTAGTGTATTAGTGTAAAAAAACAAAAAGTCAGCAAGAAGCAGAAATATGCTGCAGTATGGGACAGAGAGAAGAGGGGAAGAAATCTTTGTGACTGTATGTGCCTCTGTTATTGCGTCTACTCACCATCCATCTTTAGACATCCAAGCTGTTGGAACAGCTGTACAGAGTGTGTACAGAGTGGGGAGTATGTACAGATCCTTGAAGAACAAGGTAATGGTGCCACAAGAGGTGCTGTGCTGGGATATGCAGCTTGTATGGCTCAAAATACATAGCAAGATCTCCTTCATGCCTCCCTGCTGTTCATTGCCCCACAGCTGTCCTGGTAAGGCAAAGCACCTTATGAACCAGTATGCTCCAGATAGTCTTATGATCCCTGAGAGTCCTGCTTCCTGGGTATGAGCAAGGACTCTTCTGCATGTGTGACCACAACCTCCCCTTTCACAGTGGAGAACTTTCCTACTGCTTCTGTATGTGACTGACCTTCACCCTGTAGCCTATCAGAGAGGTTGAGGAATGTGGTGATGGGTGTAACCATTAGCCTAAAAGGGCAGTTCCCAAGACTCTTGAGAGAAGATGAGAAGATGGGAGAGGACCAGTGAGAATAAAGACGGCAAAAATAACCTGCCTTTCTTCTACCAAACGCCATTAACATGCTCATCTCAGAAAACATTACCATCAGAATGCTTTTCTTGGCACCAGCACAGGATGTCCAGTGTTACTGCAGCTACTCAACTAAAGAGCAGGCACAGAACAAAGTAAAACTTCACCAAAAATTTTACTTGCTTCTCAGGAAGATGAGATTGTCGTGTATCGAGTAAGAGCACGGCTTACACACACCAAACAGAAGATACAGAAATTTCTTTCTTACTTAAAAGGAAAACTTTATTTTGATACATTAAAAAATCTATACATTTCTTAGACTAAAATACAGTTTTGCATCAGTATCCTGGCACAATGTCAGTTTACACAGAAAATCTAAGATTAGATCAGCACTGGTAATTTCTTTTCTCTTCCTGCATTCACAGCTTGCAGTATAAAATAGTTTTAAGTTCTCAAGACAACAATGAACAGTGTCACATTTACTTTTCCCATTCTCAAAGGAGGTGGCATTCCACTGGAAAAAGGAGCACTTGTTAGTTGATCTTGATTCAATGTAAATCACTAAGCCAGTCCAGGGGTTTGATTGCCCTGTTAGAAGTATGAGTAAAGGAGGATGAAAAATTCGTTTTCCAGATGAAGCTTTGATGGACTATGACAATGCAAGTACTGTCAAGCCTTTAAAATCTGTTCAGAAGATTTTCTTTTTTCCTTAGAGTAGTTTCTGTAATCAGCAACACAATTAATTATATAGAAATAATTATTTTCTATAGGTATAGTATTCCACCTTCATTTTGCTCTGAAGAGCTCCAGAGTAAAATTAAAGTGGGACACGGGAGATGTTGCTGTGAGATGTCTGAATTGGAATGTGAATTTTCTTAATTACTGTGAAGATCCTGTGGAATATTTTTTATCTGCTCTCCATGGCTCCACCTAACTTCTGGCAGCTGCTTTTTGTCCTACATAAGAAATAAAACCACCTTTCTGTTTTCTCTTCCCTCACTCCCCTGGGAGACAGTATGAAATTGTGGTGCTGTTTTTTAAATGAGAGATATTCTCCTGTTTCAGTTTGAGCAGCAGGGAGGGACCCAACTAATACTAACATGGAGGACACATGGTATTTGAGAGTTAAAAAACATGCTTATAGTGGGAACTCCAGTCAGTGCACAACTTCTGCTGGGCTTCATAACTAGTCAGCTTCCTAATTTCACCAAACCTTTTTGAAATAAGCTGCCCCTATTCCCACTAACCCAGAGAAGAGCGGTGGTACACTTGAGGAATGGTATCCACCTATGCTGCCGGCATAAAACAGGAATGCTGTTAGGTATCTACTTATAAGTCACATACTTAGAGAGGCCATAGCTGTCTTTAACATTACTGAAATTAGGCTAGTTCTGTTAAAGTCAGCTGGTACTTTTACTCTGAATTCTTGAAACTTTGGTTCTAAGGGGAGTTTCTGTAAAGAAGTACCAAACGCTTCTTACACCAAAGTCTGCTCATCATGTTCAAATATGATGACTTAACCTCAGTGAGACAGGGGAATAAAATCTGATGGGCATTTGCTGGTTTTCTGCTAATTCCATTTTAACAGATGTCTGTCAAATGAATGCCAGATAGTTTAGCCCCCAAATAGGTATTTTCAGTTCAATTCATGCTACCAGTTCTCCTTAGAAATATTTTCATATTCCTGGTCTCTGGGGAGCTTTGGCTTGATTGTATTAGATTGCAAGACTCATCACAGCTCCATCCCAGACCAGAAATTTTGCCTTTTATACATGACCCACATCACAGGAGATGAGTTTCATCTTTTCTCTCATCTCTTTAAATATAAAAGAAAAAAATACCATGAGAAGAGTATTTGCCACAGAACACAAGAAATATAGATTTACTAGTCTCCATAATCTTGTTACATGGTGGAAATAACAGCAGAGATGAAATAGCTGGAAGAGCATTTGAAAATGAAATATTTATAGTAAACTTGCATCATCTCAACAAAGAAGCTGAGGGCAAGAAATGCTTCAAATAAGCCTGTTGGGTTTTGTGTTGGGAAACACAAGGGTTGTTTTGTTGTCTTTTTGGTTTTTTCACAAAAATGAAATAGAATTTCTGTGTTGATAATGTGACACAAGCTGTTCAAGAAACAATGGGCTAGTGATATTTAGATTTAGTAAACGGTATCTGCACAGGCCAAGCCATGATTTAAAAAACAGGAATGCTGGAAGATATCTACTTATAAATCTTAAGACTGTTTCTTAAAACGATGGTGCCATATTCAATATAGCATGTAATATGCACTCTGAACTAAATGCTTACTAGATGGTGATGAGTATACGTCTGCTACATGCATTTTATTCTGACTCTATAACATACATTCATAGAATACATCATAACCACTCAGAGCAAACCACTAAAGTGCATGCCCTGAGGGCACATTAAGTATATTGTTTCCAACACTGGCTGCTCAATTGCCAGCACACTGATACAGAAAGGGCTCATTTTTGCTTTATATCCCCATTATGTGCTGAAAGAGTAAGAGCTAACATCCCCTGCTCCCTCCATGAAAGGGAGCACTGTGGAGCAGGCAAATTGCCTGCTGCAAAAAAAGCCCTTTCAGAAAGAAGTAACCACCCTGAGAAGATGCTGTACAGAAATGCAGGGAGCAAGTCTTGGATTAATTATTGGGTAGGTGGGCCTGTGTACTGGGTTAGGCTGGACGGAGTTAATTTTCTTTTTGGCAACCTGCAAGATGCTGTGTTTTAGATCTGCAACCAAAACAGTGTTGCTAACACAAAGCTTTACCTGCTACTGAGCAGTGCTTGCACAGGGTAAAGGCCTTCTCTATTTTCCTCTCTACGACCCCCGCACTCGTTTGGGGCTGGGCAGAAGGCTGAGAGGGCACACAGCCAGGACAGCTGACCTGAACAGACTGAAGAAATATTCCACACCATATAATGTAACACTCAGCAATCAAACTGGTTCTCAAGCAGCTGCTGCTTGGAGATTGGCTTGGCATTGGTCTGCTGGTAAATGCTCCCCCCCCCCCCCGCCACATTTTGCTTAGTGAACTGCACTTTTATCAATGTTTTTGTCTTTTCACTGCTCTCTCCCATCCTGTTGCAGGGACTGAGCAAGCAACAGAGTAGCAGTGTATGTGACAGCCATAGTCAACCCACCACAACATTTAACTGCATTTTCCACTGTTAGGTCTCCCTTATAGAAAACACTTTTCAAATACAAAAGTCCTTCATTCACTATGCCAATGTAAGGCCACATTTAGAAGCCCATCCTGGCACTGGGAGCTCATTGAAAGCTGAAGATGCAAATCTAAGCTGGCCATCCGATGTGTTAAGCCTAGCTGTGGAGCAGCAGTGAAACTCTAGAAGTGATTGGCTGCACTTCTAATCACAGTGATGGAGTAACACCCGACAAAAAAAAAAAAGAAAAAAGAAAAACTTCAGCTTAGCACATACTCTCCCTCTCATTCAGTACAGGTAATATCCTGAATCATTACCTTGGGAAGGTAAAAGGGAATGTGGTAAGATCAAGGGACAAAGGCGAGCTGAACTCTGCCACTTGCCACTCTTTTACTCAGAGAGCAATATGGAAATGAGACGCAAAAGAACAAAAACAAAAAACTTTTTCTAGGGCCGGAAGAAGCAGTAAAGATATGGTGCTGTTCAACTTCCAAACAGAAAAAATAATGTGGGGAAAAAATTTAACAATTTAAGGATTGGTATGCTTTTTCTGTTTGAAACTTAGCTGGTCAGAGGCTATGATGCAGAAACCAAATGCTGGGAAGCAGTAATCCCAATGATTGTTTCTAAATCCAAATTGTCCAGCCTAAATTTCCAGTCTTTTAGCACTACTCAATTCAATGGACTTTCTGAGAAGATGATTTCTCTGTTTTAGCTGTCTCATCTGCTCCTCCTGCATTGTTATTCTCAGTGCAGCATCACTCTCTACTTAGTCTAGACTGCTTCCCACAAAGCAGACCATACACTGGCTTTAATAACCAACAGTCAAAAGGAGTGTTTAATCCCTCACAGCTGGCAGACCCCAGCATCCCTACTGCCAAAATTTATGTATAGGATTTAAATGCCAAAATGTCCTCCCACTCCACTATCCCCACTAGGGAAGGAAAGCAGTCTAAATTTGTCCTGAAAAGTTGTCTTTTCAGAATTCTGTCTTCTGCTTATCTCTGTGCACAAGACAGAGCTGGAAGAGGGCAGCTTGTAGTTTGGTTGCAAATGAACATCAATGGACATTCAAAACCTTTAAAGGGCCACTGGAAAGCCTGTGTGTGGATGGAATGCCTTTTTGGCAAGACTGGAAAGCTCTGCATGCTGGATATACACTCAAGAATGGTGCACATGTTTTTATTAAGAACTGTGTAATTATATAGGTTTCTCACTTAAACATTACAACTACCCATAGAAAAGTGTTTCCTGTATCTTTTATACACCATGTAAATAAACAAATTTATTTTTAAGACAGGATAAACTGCTATAAAAATGGTGCACAGTCAAGTCATACAAAAATACAAAATTTGTTTCCAATTGCAGTCCTAGTTGCAATTACAGAATACAGTTCCCACTCAGGACATCCAGTGAGTGGAGAACACAAACTTGTGGAACCAGTCATGGCAGAATTTTTTTTATCAAAATGAGCAGAATACAAGGCTTCTTTGATTAAGCACTTCCCATAACCTCCAAACAAGATGAAACTAGATTCTCTGGAAGCAACTGGGTACTTGATAAGTCTTTTAGTCTTGAAAACCAGTTTCTAGGATTCATCTAAGCTAGTTTTTAAATTTGTGTTGTTAAACCTCTCTGATCTACACAAATACTGGTGTTGAGTACCACTGCTATCTTAGACACTGGACTGCAGGAATGTCTCCTCTCCACAAAAGTAAGGCTGCTCCAGTGTTTCTTCTGGGCAAGTCTGACCTCTAACTTGCACAGAGAGGCCTCACCTGTGCTCCAGTTTGAATCCCTAGGCTGAAGCTCTAGTCCAGTCAGCACTTACACAGATGTGTACATTACAATTTCCATACTTAGAGAGCCCTCCTGATGCTAGTAGTTACAGATATGGTTCACTTAAATTAGTAAGTGCTTCCAGGACTGGATAATTCTCTTTGCCTCCCCAACTCCCCAAGCTATCCTTTCTGAATGTATCTTTATTTTTGTACCATTCAAATAGTTTGGGTTCTGTGATATGAAAAGTGTAAATTGTTTTAACTGGCTTATAGGAAAAAAAAAAGTAACAAATTTAAGTTATCAAATGACTTCTGGAAGCAAAAGTGAAATGTTTTACTATTGCCAAAAAGATAAGAGCACTAGTTAGCTAAATGATACTACATAATTATATATATTATAAACCTTCAGCAGCAATTTGGAAGTCTGATAGTCTGAAAGGAAGCACAGTTAACTGCTTACTTACTAAACCTTGATTACACGAGTTGTGCATGTCTTTACCTAGACATACCTCTCTACTCCATCATAAAGCTTCCGTAGAAAGGCTCTTACTCCTTCAAAAGATTTTCTGGAATGGAGTGGTTGAACCATTGAGGCATCATTTTTTGTAGACAGCTTGTATTTAGTGCAATAAGTTTAAAAATTCTGCTCTGAAATATTAACATTACAATAACAAAAATAGTTTTCTTAAAAAAATGTTAACAAAAGGAATATATAGCATAGACAGATCATCAATTCTTAGCAAATACAGTTATGCATTTACCAATTCACTATGCTGAAAAATTGAATATTAGCATTCATATCTGGTGAACTTCCAGACTAAAGAGATATTTATGTATCTAATAATAATTAAAAAAGCATGTTCTCTTGTCATTATTTAATAATTTCAGATAACTATCCTGACAGCTACACTTCCAAAGGAATGTTTCTCTGCCCTTTCTGGCTTTAGCCACCCACTACAGTATTTACAAATATGGATCAAGCAACAGGCAAGGAATGGTCCTTTCTACCTCCCAGAGATCTCTCATTAGATGAAATGAAGCATACAGTACTTTTTTATGTACAGCAGTATAATTCATTTTTCTTCCCATCCTCAGCATCTTTGTATCTAGTCATGAATTAATCATGAGTATGGCTAAGACTGAGCTTTAACAATCTGTTATTTCACTTGCCCGTATGGAGAATCCATACCCTTCACAGGAGCACTGCTGAAGTGTGAAGGAGGCTACTGAACTCAGGGGGAGGATAGAGGGCAATGGGTATGAGGGGTAAAAGTAGGGTAAGCAGGAAGTTAATTGCATATAAAAATTATCTGTCCCCATTTTGTAGGTTCTGTTTAATAGGAGATGCAAGGGCTCCCACACACCTAAATACCTGAGGAGTTGGTTATTGTGATATCTGATACTGGTAAACAGAACTGTGCCCTGCCAGGGCTGTAAAGTAAAATAACTGCTTACAAACACATTTCAACTGAACAAATTTTTGCTGAAATGACCTCTTGAAAAAATAAATTTGAGACTTTTCTTGATTTTAAGGTTTTCTGTACATGTCACTGTCCTGAATTTAATGCAGATTTTAAAGAAATTAAACAAGTAAAACCCTCAGCAGATTAGCAGTGTCATGGGAAATCTGTCTCTAAACCCAGTCATGATTTCAGATTATCTTTACAATGATACTTCCTCCAGATTTCAAAATATCAAGCAGATAAGAAGAATCAACATTTCCATGACCACAACAAATAATTTAAGAAATGGAACAATGATAAAGCTGCTTGTAAAAGCCACCCGTATGAAAAGAGTACATGTTTCACAAAAATAATTGTTAAAAAAAGTTTTAAATCCCTGTTCCTTTTATCTGATTTTGGCTGTTTATATATATATATATATATATATATGTATGTATGTATGTATATATATATATATATGTATGTATGTATATATGTATATATATACTGTTTTGGAATGTCAATGGGTTCCAATATGGCTGGCTAGTTTCAAGATGAACTTGCTCCAGAGGCCTAGAAAACAAAGTCATACAGTACAGTCTTAGACAGATGCCAAAGGACAAGGAGAAATTGAGTCAAAGGGGTCACTGGAAGCCATAAAGAAAGAAGCGTGAAAAGGTGGGGTTTTTTCTTGTGCCCTGATACAAGAACAGAACTTCCTAAAGTGTCTTCTCATCTCTGCTACTAATACCTATTTTAAGTACAACTGCACTTAGGGCATTTCACTTTAAGAAATAATTGTCATATCTAAGAAATATCTGCATTTCAAGGAAATTGAAGCAAACCAGTAAAGACTCTGTAAAAAAAGAGAAAAAAGTAGTATTGATCTAATTTTCAGACATGCAATTTTGGGACTGTGGGCACTACCGTTACACAATAGACTTATGAATGATCCTATTCTAGCTATAACTGAGGCCCTCTACTTTGGGGAAAGGCCTCAGAAATTTAACTGCTGTGTCCCATCATGATCAGGAAGTGAGATCCTAGTATTTCATAATCAAATCAACTGGAGCTGAATGCCCAAAAATGGAAAACCACAAGGCCCAAACAGTTCCAAACAAGACATTCACATGAGCAGCAGAATTGGGAGTAATTCAGCAGGAGACTTCCACTCTGAGCCTCAAGTGCTCAGCATCTTCTCCAGCCATCCTAAGAGGACTTTCAGCCAGCACCAGGCTGAGTCCATAAAAAATTTCCTCTAAGAATAAAACCACCCTTGGTTTGCAAGTACTTGGTTTGCACTTTTAAAAGGGGTGGGGGTGAATAAAGTTTTTTAACATCCAAGCTTCAGGCAGTCAAGTACAAAACTGTTATTAGCAGTTTTATTAGCACTGACAACAGTGTAAGTGGAAAACCACTTAAGGTAAACCAATTCTTTGAAACAGAGTTTAGCATAAAATTTTGAACTGAATTTTTTGTGCATATGACTAGAGAGTTTTCACCCCCAATTCTCAATCATTTTCCCGGCACATTTGCATTTATAGCAATTAGCTCGCTCTGAAAATCCCAATGTTAGTGTCTGCTTGACCAGCTAGAATTACTCCCAGAAGAAAACAGTAAATGAGCATAGAATTAGTTTTTTATATGTATAAACGCAGCATTTAGGCATAAGCAAATCTAGAAACTGATATGCCATAATGAAATAGCAAAACACACAAAGCTACACATCTATCCAGTCTATAGCAGGAACCCATTCCAGCTTAGTCAAAAAATGCTCATGCAACATGGCTTCACATACATTTTGAAAAAATAAATTATTCTGTTAGCATACACTTATTTAGATTCCGTTTGGTTAAAATATGATCCCCATGGTACGGAAATGAATAAGACCCCAAACACTCTGAGAAAGTGATGATGGAAAAATATTCTGTTTCACAAAGTCATAATGTACGATGACAAATCATACCTTACCCAGCCTGGCTCTCTGTTATACGCCCTCTGTTCTCCACCTTCCAAACTTATCCTCCTATCTGTTATCTGTACCATTTATAGTGCTCTTATTCCAGGCTACTCAGACATGCAATGCCTTCCTAACAGGCACACCATAAGTAAAACAGGCTGCAGAAGCATAAATGATGCATTGTTCACTGCCTGTGCATCTGACAGTGTGAGATGGAAAGAGCACACAAGAGACAAGCAACATAAGTAGTTGGCAATAAAACAAACAACTGGGAGAAATGTCATTTGAGCAGGTTGAAAGGAATCACTGTATCCAATTCCTTGGCCCTTGGTGAGGGCTTTGAATACCTGGTCTTACTTTGCAACAATGGATGCACGCAGTAAGTGTTCTTCATTTCAGGTTTTTGCAGTGAATGTAAGATGAGCAAAAATTGTTCATCTCAGGGCTGAGAAGAGCCCAAAGAATCTCAGAGCCATCTTAGTTTTAGACTGTTCAGCAGCTGGGGCTGTCTGCATATACCACATGCACCACTAATCCTAATGAAATGATACTGCATTTGTTTCATATGAGACAGTTCCTTTCATCTTACTTTTACAGGAGATGGTCTCAGCTGTGACAAAAACTCTGCCATCCAGGTGATAGGCAAGCTCACAAACAGAAAAAGCAGAACATCTTGAGTGATACAGAGAACAAAAACTTCTCCTGAAGAAGTGCAGTCAGTAAAGACAAAGAGGGAGAAGAAGTAAAAGTGAAACTCTTGGAGGATCGCCACCTCCTCATCTGCACCTACCATTGGTTTTAGCTCTCTGCCCTCAGCTCCACCTCCCCGGCCAGCTTCTTTCATAGATTTCTTACTATTCTCCACAAACTCCTGAAAAACAGTAATGAAATGACACGTGCTTTCATAGAGCAGACTCCAAAACATTAAATCTCAAGACAGAACTTCAAGATGTGACTACTCAAAATATCTAGCTAATTTGCATCTCTCACTTCTCTTGCTTAGACTTGACCACAAAGTATCGAAAAAGCCTACCAAATAACCGCAAAGGTCTCCCTCACTTAATTCTGGAAGCCAGACAGATGTTTGCCTTTTGTGCTCTTACAACTTTCATATTTACCATGCAATGCTCTCCTTTATGGGGAAAGAAGGTAAAAGGCTGATTAAAAAAAAAAAAAAGTCAAAACCAAACAAAAAAGAAACCTGCACAATAAAAACCCCAAACAAACCAGATTCTCATTTATTGCTTTGTAGCTTGTGCCTAATGTTAGAATGCCATTAAACAAATGGATTTTGACTACTTGGAAGATTTGGCTGATTTCCCTAAATGTCCTCAATTCAACCTCTTACACTTGTCACGAAATCACAATCTCCTTTTCATGCAGATTAGAAAATGTGCTATAAAATTTTAAGCATTTTTTTTTCTCTTAAGGGCAAGAATTCTGCAGGAAATGTCAGTAAACTTTAGCTGCTGGGGTTTTGTGATATTGACTGTTGATGAAAGAAACTCACAATACTTTTACAATATATCAATGCTTTCTTCTGGCAGAACTTGCTGCATTTTACTCTTACTCTGTTAAAAAGCAACTAATCAGCAGCTGATTTATTTATTATATACTCTAAATTCCATAGGGGTTTACAAAAAATTTAGCATTAAATTCTTGGCATGGTTTTTCCATAAAAAAAAAATTGCTAAGAAGTCATGAAGATCTTCCTTTAGCCTACACAAGGCTACATTTTACAGAAACATATTCTACACCTGCCACTTAAAAACACTGTCCAGAAATGTCTGTGCAACAAAAAAATGAGGGGCTTGACAAGCACAATTTTTATATCTTGGTTTCTAGTTATAGTGAGCAGAGAATAACATGGAATAAAAATGGACAAAATGAATCGACCTTGCAAAAGGCCTTGACAAAGCATGTAGGCTCCAGGATAGAACATAAAGCCTAGTATTACTATGTGTGACAGTCAAATTCTGGTTGATGCCTATATGAAAACTCCATTGTGGTCACTACCTATGCATGAGGTAGAAATACTCTGATATTTTTTCTCTTTCATATCCAAAGAGAAGTCCTTCTTGGGAAAGTAAAAAAACCAAGTTTTCTCCCCTTGTTTTGTTTCTTTCTATCACTGTGTAATTTACAAGACATGATATCCAAGAGTATGATTCTGCAAGATCACTGCTCATCCAACAGCTAGCAAATAGAAGCCAATACCATAGGAAGGAAGCCTCATTACTTACTTGATGCTTATCAGTTGACACTGTTTCCTGATCAAGCCATGAACAAGATGGCAAGATAAAAAAAAAAAAAAAAAACAACCAAAAAAACCTCTTATTGAACTCAGCTAGTGCTTTCATTCCATTGTCAAAATACCTATTTTATGGAACTAGATCCTTAAGACTTTGAGAGTAAGGGAAAACTTACCATGAGAACTTTATCCATGTAGAATTCCCTGCCAGGGCTCCCATCATTGTATTTTGTGTCGATGGCAAAACATAAGAAAAGGACATCAACAACCATTTCATAAATGGAAAGGAAGCAGTGAGCAACCAGGAATGCAAAGAGGCAGACAATGATGAGTGGCAGCACCCAGATGGTGTAATCTTGTTGGTAATTCAGCAACATAATGCCGGCCAAACCTGTGCTGCAGACAATCAGGACCTGAAGAAGAAAATGGTAGACAACTCTAATGGCAGAAGCCTTTTGATATGTTTTGTTTGGTTGGTTTGTTTTAAGGCAATATACTTCTTGGTCTGCCAGGGTTAGAACTAGAGGAAACAGATGGTAGGTAACATGATCTTTACCTCCTGGATTCCCCAAGTCCTGAGGATAAATGACATTTAATTCATTTTTCAGCAGGTCCAAGTCAATTGTTACACATCCTTCATCACAAAGAATATTTTTCAGAGAAAATTACATTTATATTCTGCTGTCATCATTCTAATGTTATACAATAGTCCTGTAAAAAATATCTTAATCCTGTCAATTACATAAACCCCACAACCAGATGCCATGCATCAACTAACACACAGTTGGATTTTTTTTATTTGGGGTGGAGGCAGAAGTTAGGTATTAGGAGAACGGTTTTTTATTTTGCTAGTGGAAACAACTTCCAAGCTTGTTTAATATCCATTTCTTCTCCATACAGGAGAAAGTAGATCAGAATTCTCATGAGGCACTTCATGTAACAGTCTCTACAGAACTACAGTATGTGTGAGGCCGTAACAGATATTCCACTGGGTACCAGTCTGGTTTTGGCAAAACCAAAAAGACTAAACTGGGTTGCCAATTAACTTTTTGAATATTTCTGAATGTATTATTATGAATAGCAACTAAACACAATCATAAATTTCGTCAGCTTTTACGAAAACATCATATTGAAGTGGTAGAGGAGATACTGATAGTGTAGCATTATTTTAGCTGATACTGATTTTTATGTGCACAGTTCATTTGAACATTTCTGTCATCTGAACATTTTTCTAATAATCTGAGATGTCTTTTCAGGGGGTGTTTCCTAACACTTTTCAGATTCCTCAGTAAAATTTTGTTATGTAATTTCAGGTTCTCCAAAACACCTATATCTCCCTTATGTGTTTATTCCTTCTCACATTTTACTCACTTAATTACTGGATACAAGGTTCAGCCCACTGAACTTCTGATTTAAAAGAAGTAGAGGAATGCAGTAAGGAATACAGATCAGTCCAACCAGTGTCCAGATACTTAGGCACAGGTGATTTAAGTAATGTGGTATTAATTGTTTCAGTAAATTATGGCACTTCAAAGGATAGAAATAATTCACTGGATTACATTTCCATACAGTATATCTCCATTAGCTGGAAACCCAAAAGGCTGACTGATTGCAGAAATTATTCTGCTCTCCTTTTAATTCTGAGAGTAGAACTAAGTTGCTTAAACTGGCAGTTCCTCATAGCAGGCTTCCGTACTCTTTCAGTCTGATTTTGTCATAAAAGGTGATCAGTAATGTGTCAAATTTTCAGCATAAACCTAGAGAGTCCACACTAAACAGAATTTAAAAGAAAAGCTTCCTTTCCTTACAATTCTGTGTCTTAACTACAAAATCAAAACCTTAGACTTTCTAATCACTTTTCTCTTGACTCCCTAAAAAAATGCAAAAAGTGTCATAAACTTCAGCTACTCCTTTCTAGTCACTTTTACCAAATTTAAGTGGATAATTTGTTTATGCTCCCTATACTGGATGGTCACTTCGTAACATGATGCAGCTAGATGCGATAAAGTGCACACTAAGAAACAGGGTTTTTAAGACATTTTGAATTAGGGTTCAAGCTATTGCTAAAGAACAATTGCTTCTACATAGGTCTGTAACAGCTGTATGCAGCAGACATACCTTTCCTAGAAACAGCATAAAATCCCCAACTGTGTTTATGGCAGCCACTCGCAAAGCATTTTCCACTAGGATAACAAAGGCATCCTTTGCTGAGGTGCAGAAATTGGTACTGTTGATAGCTGTGGCTGTATACGCATTCTGAGGAAAGGAGATTGAAGATTTATTCATAGAATGATGAGGTATTTCAGATGGAGGGTGGGGAAGGTGCGAAAGAAGATACAGCTTTGAGTAAGACACATTCATCGTATGATTTTAATGAACAAAAATTCCCTTGAGAGTTGTTGAATCAAGCAATATGAACCAGCTGACAGAAGATTATATGAGCTAAAGAATTACTATTCTTCTCCTCTCTTGCTCATAATTTATGCATTAACAAGTTTGTTCAAAAAAAACTCATTAAACAGAATTTGCCATTTCGCTGCAGGAAGAGGTGAACAGTAGCATAGCTACAGAAATTAAATAGCTCAAAAAAACCAATCTGGAAATATAAAAGAATCTGAGTGTCATACAAGACAACCAAGATAATTTCTAAATACTTAACTAGGCAGCATTCAAGGTTAGTGAGGACAGTTTTCAAGGATTACACTGAAGTGTTTAAAATGTTCTCTTACAGTTTTATTTTCTACATTTCCACAAGTAAAAAAAAATTAACAAGAGTGAAAGAGAAATTATGTACAAGATATTTATGTATCTGATATTTGTTTATGTGATATTTATGGCCCCTAAACCAAATTATACAAGGGGTCTTTTACAAGGACCAGCTAGTGTGTTACACTTTGCAACTCTTTTTCTCCATTGTAGGTGATGATGATGACAATTTGATATTTTGTATAGTTTTTACACTGTGAGAATCTTAAATATTACACATAGAAAAGCTTAATTCTCTTTTCATGACAAAAGTATTTTGAAACTCAGATGTAGTTTGACTGAGTAGGCCTAAGGGGGAATGTCTCCAGTAAACCACTAATCAAATTGTTATAAAGTTGAGAAACCATGTTCACAAAGATGAATATGGGCTATTTTTTAGTTCTTGTTTATATTCCAAAGATCAGTGTAGTGATTTGCAGTGTAATTTCAGTAATGGAGACAAGAATGAAGTACTGTCATTCAAGTTCAGTTCCAAAGTACAAATACATTATGTGTCGTCATCAGATTGCACTCTGGGAATATATATACTAATATAAGCCCTTTCATAAAACTTAAGTATGGAAGATCTTACCTGATTTAAATATGTCAGGCACTTTTCTAGACACCAAAGGCAGCAAATGCAGGCTTTAAGCATACAGCGAGCACAAGCATTTTCCTAGAAAAACACAGAATGTGGGAAAACATAGATAAAGAGTTTTTATGGAAACAATATTCCCTTGTGCCTCAGTAACTGATATTCAGCCTTGCTAACTTAAGCAATCTGTATCAGTTCCATGGTCCTGCAAAGTCTAAATATTCAGAGAGTAATAGGATGGTTTGGGTTGGAAGGAGATCCCAACACCATAGGCAGGGGCACCTTTCACTAGACCAAGTTGCTCAAAACCTCATCCAGCATGACCAGAACATTTCCAGGGATGGGATAGCCACAACTTCTCTGGGTAACCTCTTCTAGTGCCTCACCACCACCCTCACAGTGAAGAATTTCTTGTTACCCCGATCTATTTCAAAACAAGACTTCCATCCTCCCACATTGACTAAATAAACAGGTAAACATATCAGGCCTTGAGTTTCGATAAGAAAATGGAATCTATTTATCTTACCTTTCCTTTGAGTTGTGTGTGAATATACATAAGAATCATTCGTGGTATCTTCACTAGTGTGATAATGAAAGACCCCTTTGCTACTGTTCCTAGGTGGTAACAAACAAGGCGATTAACAGATGCCAGAATAGGAGTAAATGGCAGATTTCTTTTCTCCCTGTCAAAAAGAGGAAAAAAAAAATGAAGTAGAATGATCAGTATTTAAGTGGTAAGAAGTGCTATAAATTCTGAATAAAATAAGGCACAAAAGGAATATATTATCCTCATACTAGCTTTTAGGATATATTGCTTACTCCACCCTGACAATCTATGTAACTCACAAATTTGTCTCTAGTGCAGGACTAGGATTAGGAATTGGTATGTCATACTATTGGGGACTGCAAAGTTATTGTTTATGGCTTAAGCATTTTTATGAAGGACTTTTGCCTATTATAGCAAAACTTTAAAACAAAAGCTGCATGGAAGACCACCAACCCTGAATGAGCCTCCTGACTGAGGCCCTGGACTGCAAGTTGATGGGAGATAAAGAGGAAGTGACTCAGTTCTTGGCTGGGAAAAAAAAAATACCTTCACAGGAGGGTTAAGCTTCACACCTTTGGGGTGGAGACCACAGCCCCAGGGCTATCAGCTGCCAGACTTGCACAGACGCTCACACCAAAGGATGGGGGTGGGAAGGAGAGGTTTTGGGCGTGTGGTGAAAAAGCCTCTGGTAAGAGGTAGTGAATGCCAATACTCTGCTGGGCAAACCTGCCCAGCTGCAGTCACCTCTTCACCTGGGAAAGCCACATCTGCAGGATATCCACGTGAATGACAGCAGAGGGGGTGTCATGGCCCATCAAAATTCCCCCCACAAGGGGCCCCCAAATCTTGCACTGGAACACTGCAACATGATGTAACAGATCCACAGTGTTGCAAGGGTCAGTGTCAAACTTGCCCTCTAGGCATTCCTACCTAGCCCAAATGTATATGAATCCATTTGATTCTTTACTTTTTGGGGCATGGAGGACCCTCACCACCAAGAAGACCAGATGGAGGGAAGCAACGATATGTCATTTGGACCCTTGGAAGGATGGTATGGGTCTACCTAACCCTCTCCATGTTCCCCTGCCTGCTCTTTTTCTACATCTTTTTTTCTTTTCTCTTACTTTCCCTTTCCCTCTTTTACTATTAAATAAAATATATGAACCTTTTTTTTTTTTTTTTTTTTTGGCACGCACATCTAATAAAGTTTTAATCAAGTTTTGGAGTATATTTCAAACCTTTCTGTGTTTGATCCATTTTATTCACAAATACTTAGTTTTCTTTGCTCTTCTGTGTTTAAATTACTCTGTAACACATGAGTAGTATGGTGGTGCGTCCCCGCTTTGTCCCTTCCCATCTTGGACTGCGTTATGATCTCAGAAATGCTTGTTAGGCCCCTGTCTTGATGAAGAGTACCTGGGCTCAGCTCCTTGAACTTATCGGAAACACAGTCTGCTCACAGCTTGTCTATCAAGCTCCTGTTTTTAAAGGAACAGCCTTGTAAACTTATTTTTTGTGCCCAACTATCAACCTAGGTAGAACAACATTTCTATTATTGAACCTTCAAAGAAAGTTACACACCTGAATTGTGGACAGGATGGAAAATTACTATGACTAAAGCCAATTCTCTTGCAACCCCATAAACTCCTGGACCACAGTGGGCTATGACCAGCACCTCCTTCTGAGTGGGACCTCTCTGAGCCACTGAACACTCAAGTGTGTGATACTCAGAGGACCACCATCAAATGCTGCTGACAGAGCCTGGGCTGACACACCACTTCTCAAGCCTCAATCCTTTGCCTGTTGAGAAGGTGCAGAGGCATCTGACCTGAGCACTTCACTGAACTTGAGAGGAATTCCTCTGGGTCTATACCTTGTACCTACACGTGTGAGTATGAATGTGCTACGGCAAATGTACTGTGAACGTTAGATTGGTAATTAAATCAGGTCTAAGTCACTGAGTTCCTGTTGTGCTCTTAGTAAATTCTATAGACTCTTTTGTTAAATTCATTAAATTACGCTATTGATTAAGTAATACTAAGTTTAAGTGCTGTTTAACTCTTTAGGCCTAAACTGTTCCTGAAGTCTGGGGCTAATAGTGGCAAGAGGGCCCACTCTTAACCTTGTGATTCAATGAGAGGGTGTCCCTCATTCCTTTTTATCCTTTCTCATCCTTAGCTTTTTCCATCCCCAGCTTTCACATAAATAATTTCAGGTTTAGTCTTAGATTAACTGATTTTAGTCAGTTTTTAGTCAACTTTTCCTTTTCAATGTGTGCTTTAATCATCTACTAAGTAGTAAAGTGAATCTTGTCAATGAACTCCGTCACACTTTAACTTTTATATTAAACAGCTTTTGCCAATACCTTGGCCAGTGATTCTCTGAGCAACCGGAAACACTCATTGGTGACAGGTAGACTTACTAGCAGTTGGCTGCATTACCACTATTAACAACTGGCAATTCCCTTGAAGCTGCATCAGATGGTGTGCAATTCAAAACCTTCCAAAACAGTAAGAAACTGTGCTAATACTTTTTTTAGTTAGACTACTGATAAACTTGCCTTCTCCTCTCTTGTTCTTTTGGAGATCTTTGTGTAGTCTTTGGAGAGGATATTACTAATTGATGGGGTAAACTCTGCTCAGATTTTTCGCACTTCTGATTTAGCTGTTATATCCTCAAAGTACCAAGGGCTGAGCCTTAAAACAAGTCATTTAATGCAATGTAGCTATAATATTTTTAATTTATCAGATAAATACTCACATTCACGGTTTCAAGCCATTTTTCTTTTCTACCGAGAAACTCATTATACATCTCTCTCAAAGAATAGTACTAATTAAACATTTAAAGAACGGCTCTTCTTCTTTATTGGAAATAAGAGCATGATAATAAGCATATTAAGAAACATGTGATAACATTCAAAAAATAAAGGATCTCTCCAGCTTGGAAGAGATGAGAATTTTACTCAGAAAGGATAACAAAAGTATATTCTTCATTCCACGAAACTAATATCTGCATAATGTAATCCTGAGATGTTAATGATTAAAGTAGGTTTACCCTGTATTGTATTCCAATTAGCTTTTAGGGGAAGACAAATTTTACTCCGTGTTAGGCACAATCACATAAATTGCTTGAGTCTTACTTATGCCCAGGCAACCCAAACACTTCCTTATTTTCAGGGCAAAGTCTGTAATGCAAAACACTTTGAGGCCTGTTATTGCCTGAGTTGAAATGAATCCATCTGGCTAAAGTGAATGAGCAGTGAACACATATAAAACATTTCTCCACGGATAACCTCATCTCATTTGATTTGGAAAGTTGTTCATATGCAAAATAATGGGTAAGTGCAAATTAATGCCTTTTCTTTTTTTACAAGTAACTTTTCAAATTATGGTTGTACCTTAAAACACAAAAAGAAGATAAGTAGAGAGAAATGAGTATTTACTAACTTAAAATAAAATTCCTGTTATGCAATTATAGGGTTTGGATGAAATAAAAATCATTCACCATCATGTGACAGGAAATACATAAACATACAGATGAAGCATACATATTGCTAAGCAATCTATTTCAGTGCAGTTATTCACTTTCCTCTGTATTTTCCTCATTCTGTACTCAATCTAGTTTAATTATTCACAATATTACATCCCTGTAACATCTTGTAATAACTTCATAGATGTATTTAATTGATATACTGGAGAACTTCATCATTAATAAAATAACAAAATTTCTGACGGCACAATAAACTGATTCCTTGCTTTTGATATTATTTTAAAGAGTAAGGCAGAAAAGGAGTCAAATGTAGCTCAGGTAACAGCCTCAATTAAAAAGACAAAGCAATTAAACATTTGTGATCTGAATCATGCACTTGAAAAATATCTGCATACATTATTCAAAAAACTGATACACAATTTAGTTCACAAGTACAGCAATAAAATATGAAGCTTTAAAATTTTACATGAATGTTTATTTTTATATGATCTTGTCTGGATTTATATGTGAATACTTAAGATCTTATTAGATTAATCAATCCTGTGAAGGAAAGATTAATGAAGATTAGTGAAGCGCTGTAAATAATTTAAAGGGCACTGTTTTGCAATTAAAATAATAATCAATTGCTTTCATTATTTTTTTAACCTCTATAGATCTTACCAGCATTAATTATTTAGCAAAACAGATGACCTTCCAGACTCATCATACTTTGTAAACAACCATCCATGCCTGTAGAATATGCACAGGTTACAAGGCAAATAGTACTTCAAGTCTTATATGTCAAGAATACCCTCTATAAATGGCAAGACAGATAGTTCAGGACTTTACATGATTTAAAAAGGGCCAAGGCAATTTAACTGTTTCCTGGCTTATTCTCTCCAGAAACCCTGTTGCTCATTAGTTCTGCTAAATCAATGTGTAGGCTACTCATGATAGAGCTATCTAGGTTATCCTTACCTTGTAAAATAGTATGTTACAACAGCCCCTGCTACTGTCATCTGCTGACAGGCTAGGATAAACTCGCTGATCCAGATGAGTCCCACTGCATGGTACCACCACATGTATTTCAAAGGACCTGCCATCCGGAATTCAACAAATCCTTCTTCATTTGGGACTGGACTACCTAGAAATGAATGAGGGCAAAAAAGAAAACAATGCTTACGTGAACTCATGATGAAGGAAGCATATGGTATTAGCAGCTCATAACCAGTTACAGCAGAAACCCCTCTAGTTTCTACTCAGTTTAAAATGCTGTATTTAGGAAGATTGTTCTTAACAAAGATAGAGCTTTTGAGACAAAAAATATAATGATATTTGAAAAAAACACTAAAAAAATTTCCACAACTAACCACCATCTCATAGCAAAAATTCATATAGTTAAACATAATGGAAGCCTACTTCAGTCATTCCTAATTTGAGTTTGCTGCCTTACCAGTATTTTTCATGCAGCAGGAATCAGTATCAGCTCCTTACATCTAGATGTCAACATTAGCAACCACTTTTGTTTTCCCTATGGTAAGCTTTTGTAGCTTTAAAGCTAGTAACAGACATATGGAGCAGCCTTAGAAATTCTAAATATATGATTTCATATATTCAAAAATTCATTGACTCTTTGTCTAATATGAATAGAAATATCATGTACAGAGACTGACAGCATGTCAGAACACTCCTAAGATAAGCTCTATTTCAATGTGTTAACGCACAGTGAGATGTTTCATCTTATATAACATTTACATGAACAGCTGATGAGATTCAGAAAAGCACTGCAAGGAACTTTGTGTGTATAAAGAGCTTACATTGAAAACCATTGTTTTGACTTAGCACTGACAGCACCTTACCTGCATTCTTAGTTATGTTTTCATACTTACATATAAAATGAATATTTTCTTGTCAATAAGTTAACTATTGAAATAATTCTGGTTTCGGTGAACAAGGATTTGGCCTTGTTTGCACAAACAGTTGTTTAACTGATAATAGTGATGATACTGAGCACATATAAGCTAAAAAGATAAACTGGTTTTTGCAGAATCAAGGCGGGTTGAAGGGTTCTATCAGTTAACTATAATATCAGAAGACTACATTCTGCTACAAATTTAGTGCTTGTGCAGTCAGTGGTCTGACTGAAAATGAAGCACAGGGCTGAGTCTTTCAGTGGTGACCATTTTCTGCATATAGCACAGCATGCAATGAAAACTAAAAATTCCATCAGTAATGAGAACAGGAACACATGAATTCTATTGCCTCCAACCCTTGCTAAGAACTCAGGATATGAAAAATATTTATCTTGTATTACTGTGAAATAGCCTTGCGACTTGAAACATTGCTACTTTTGGGTCAGTAGCAAAAAACACATTTCAAAATTTTAAGACATTTAATAATGAATGACAGTCTCTGTTGCCTACAACGTACTGCAAAAAACCAGACTTTTAAAAAAGCATCTGCTGTGGTGTTTTTTTTGCTGACATAACTAAGATTTGAACCTATGGGATTGAATAATTCTAGAAGCTCTTTTCAGACCTCAAATACAAACAAAGCTTTCGCCTATGTACTGAAGAGCAGGCAGGAATTAGCAGTACATTGGCTGCTCTCAGAATACAGTGTACAAGCAACAAAAAAATCTCCCTAATAATTCTGGAATAATACTGGGCACCTAAATTATAAAAACTGAAAACTAAAATCACAATATTTACATTGTGGGAGACAGTAACTGTGTGCAATGGCCCTTCTCTTACTGTGTACTCTTCTGTGTGAGTACTATCTACAATACTTGGTGACTCCAAGTTTATGCTGTCTTTAACTTGTGTGTATAAAATTAGAGGTAATTATTTGAAAAACTGCTATAGCAGTTTTATTATTAGAGCCTCATGATTTGCAGCAAGCCAACTTGCATCAAATCAAAAAGCCAGCCTAACACACAAAGTACCATGCTGGGAATGAAGACTCAAATGCACAATAACCTGAAGTCAGGGAAGCAGACAGGAATAGAAGCACAACAAGTGGGTTTTTTTCTTTGAGATTTCCACAGGCTTTTTAGTCAATTCTGCTAGAAATCATACAAAAATGAAGATTATTTAAAGTAAGTGACTGCTTACCTGTAGTACCAAGAAAAAGCAGGACTGTGATCCAGTATGTCCAGAAGAGGATAAGCACAAAGAATGTCCAAAATGGCTGGAAGACTAACAGCGGCAGGTGAATGAAGACCTTGCCAGCCACGTGGAACAGGGCAATGGTGAGAGCTACTCTTTTGCGCATAATTAACATGATCAAGAACAAGATAACCTAGAGGGGGAAGTTTCCAAATCACATTTTAGAGTACTTAAACAGTATCAAGATAATCTTTTGCACAGCTAGGATATTCAAACACACTAAATTAACACACACTCTATCTATAAAATGACAAGATCAAAATGTAAAACCTCTATCAGCTTCTTCTGGTGATAAATTATTTTCCAAATTATACTTCTGGGGAATTCCATTCTCATAATTATGTATTTGGAATCATCACCAGCCTTAAGCTGATGAGATGAGACCAGGTTCTATCCTCAATTACGTTTTATAAAGCAGTGAAATCAGCCAGTTTTAGCCTTTAATTACCTTTAAGAAAGGTCATTTAAAATTTATATCTGACCCTGGCATGGTGGCCTTATTGGATATACATATATATGTGCAAAATAACATAGGGAGTAAGAATCTAGGAGAGGGAGTGGAGAGGAACTTTTGGATTAGGATGTGAAGCAACAAGAACAGAAGAGGGAGTCTACAATTCCTTTGAAGTTAGTCAAACATTGTCAGTTTCTGGTAGTAAATTCAGTGACTCTGAAATTAACAGCAAAGCCCAAAGAAGATAATTTGGTTCAAATGATGTCAGTATTTCAGTTCAAAATTATTTAAGAATAACTTCTTTCAGAAGTAGGCTAAGGACTTTTAAATACACTGAAATGACTAAGTACCTCTGAACTCAGAACCTAAGAAAAATCTCTGGATTGGCAGTCCAATATCGTACCTATTCTTGGAAGTCCCTGTGGACATTTTACAGTAGATGAAAGTAGCTGCAGGCTTAGAAAGTCTCTCCTGACTCAAAATCAGATAATAGTTCCTAGAAAGTCTCCCCTGATTCATAATCAGGTGTTAGAGAACAATTCCTAAAAGTTAAAAAAAATAACATAATGAAAGAAAATCACTTCAACAGAAATTATGGCAGAAATAAACTGTTCCAAAATGTGTGCAATTCAACACTTTCACCTGAATAAAAAATGGAGACCAACAGGAGGACAAGAACAAAAAATAATACAATAATTAGCAAAGCATACCGTGAAGACTGTAGCTGCAATGGCATAGATCAAGAGAGCCTGAAGATTGTCTTTGGCTATTTGGGTCTCAAGAGCACCAGCAGATATTCGTTGTTTAGCATAGAGCCACCACAGAACTCCTGTACCACCTATGTTTTAGTGAGAAAACAAAAAGGATAAATAAATGAATCTTCTGTGTGATACATACTACCTAGTCCCAGAGGAATAAAACAGTTCTTTCCTTTTAAGTCTAGTCTGGTACTGAATACTCAAGAGCACTGATGCTCAACCCAAGAGGAACTTGAGAAGAGGGAGAAGTACTCCTCTGTTGCCCTCTTCTCCAGTGAATATACTCTTTTCACAGTCTCACCATACGATGACCTCTTCAGAGACTTGCAAACTCTGTGTTTTAGGGTAAACTGCATTGAAGGACTACTTCATGGAAAGCCCTAACAGCACAGCTCCCACTAGACAGGTAATAAAAGAACAAAAGGAAGAATAAAGAGTTCTGTGGTAGGTTGTATATATGAATTTATGGCTGTGTACAATAATGCAGGGAATAAGAATTTAGGAGGGGAAACAGAGATGGACGTTTGGATTAGGATGTGAAATAACAACAAAACAAGGAGTCTACTGTTCCTGGGAACACTAATCAAAACAACAAGCATCAACCTGATGCTGGAAACGGCACCTTAATGATATGTAGCTAAATTTGCTTCAGACAGTATCTTGGACACCAGAAAAAAACATTAGTAAAAGGCACAGTAGGCAAATACAATGTGAGGTTCTATCTCCTCACCCCTGTTACATTAATCCTAGCCTTATGGCCAGAAAAACATTCTCCTATTCTAGCTGCCCTTCCAAGGTAGAACTTTTCTTAATCACGGATCTCCAGCCCCTCAGGGAGATAACCTCTCCTCTCTGCTACATTTCTTTTCTCTTTTAATTGTCTTCTCTGTTCTGCTGGTATCTCTGAATCAAATACATAAGCTAAGTAGGGAGGTTGGACCACATGAGCCTCTGTGGTCCCCTCCAATCTTACCCATTCTGTGATTCTGTGATTGCATGTTTTTGCTGAACATACTCTGTTCAGGTGTAAAATGAAGAATGCTCTTTTGACACCTCCTAAACAAACAGTCAAGACAGAATAAGCAGTATGTGTCATAAAAGACAGGGTTTTATTCATCCATTATTATAATGGATAAAATTTTTTAGAACATAGTAATAGATGCCAGTAAGATAAGTTATTCTACTATTTCACTCAACATGGTTGCTCAGCTTCTAAAGAGAATATAAATGAAAAAAAAATCCGTATTTTTCCTTTTCCCTGGTATAGATTGTGAGGCCATTAATCAGAAAACCAAAGTGATCCTGAAAAAATATAGATAGTCTGCTGATTTTTTCCATCCATTGCAGTCATGAATTGCAAGAATTAAATCACTAGAGCTTCCTAATGTGATTATTCTATTTTTTTCTTTCCGTGCAGTCATCTGCCCAGACATTTTGGCTCAGCTACTTGGTAATAAGTGTAGAATAATTTTGTTTTATGAATTTAAAAGCTAATGTGATAAAATAAGGCTATTTTCACACAAGCTGCGTCATTTTGGAAGAGACAACCTTTGGTCATTTCCAAGAGAGCAGGCCTGGTGGCATTTCACATATGATCTAGGTCATACAGAAATACAGGGATTTAATTAGAATTTCTAGACAAGAACCTTTACTTCCTCACTTCAAGAACAGGTCTTAAAAAGCTACTCAAAGAACTTAAGGGCTGATGAACATGTGTGAGTTGTAAATATATTCAGCTGCGTAAGCAATAGTTGCTCTTAGATTTCTTCATGCGCCAGCCGCAGTGTGGGAGTACCACCACACACACCCAGGCTTAGCTACCTTGCTGACCTGTTTGGAAGGCAGATTAAGAAGTAGGCAACATTTAGGGTTGTGCTACAAGTGCTGTGAGGAATCTCCTGCACTGACACCTGTGGGCTCTAGTGAGCTAGGCTGACATGAGGACTGCCAAGCAGGCTGTGCAAATATTCAAGGAGCAATATACTCTCTGAGAGAGATCTGCAATTACTAAGGTGGCATTTTTGATGTGCACCTTGAAAAGAATTAAAAAAAAAAGGTTGAAGGGAAATGCATGATCCAAGATGTGTGTGGGATGTAGCTGGGCTGAGGACATGGAACACAAGAATTAGAACTGCACACTAAAACCGGGAGAACAAGACTTACCAAGTGATCCCAGAATGACAAGAATTGTTAAAATCCAGACAAGTACTCTTGAAATGTACCTTATTATAACCATCAAAATCATGGACAACACTGCAAAAGAAGACAAATAAAATAAGCAGACTAATTACTTCAAGTAGATATAGCCTTCCTAATTTTCCCACTGTACTAAGATAACTGCCTTCCAATAGAATTTTTACAGACAGATTTCTTTTTTGAGGCTTACAAACTCACTGAATAGATAGTTAAGAAAATTAGGCATCTCTACGATTTCTGCTTTGATAATGTTGATTAAAACAAGGAAAGCATAAATATATTTACACAATACATCAAACACAAGACATAATGCATGCATACAGACAGAGATGTACTTAGACAATGACCAAACAGACAGCAAGACATGGCAGTACTTTGAGTCTGGTAACATGAGCACACCTCCTGAGGACCAGAGCAGAGTCTGTCCTCAAATACACATGTCAAAAACCAGTCCAGTTAATATGATATCTATGTATTCCAAACTGTCATGCCAGTCATAAGTAAAAAGCTACTATAAAGCAGCTAAGGCTAAGTGAGTGGTGTGTACAAGTACATACTCATATTTTAACATATACACATTTGTGTTCAGCAGTTACGTGCAAACCACTGGAACCTGGCTTTTTGAATCACAGTCTAACCCACTGTTTTAAAACAAATAATTTATGTTTAACTATGAAATTACAAAAACTATTTTTAAAATTAACTATATGTACATTCTGTACTAACTTCTGACTGTAACTGAACAGTAGCACTGTGAATCAGCCACTAGCTTTCAGATTTCAAACAGTTTTCTACCATTATTACCAAATACTGAAGCTGTCAAGCTGTAAAAATAAACAGCTTTCAAGCTACGGTTAAAAAAATACACAGTCCTTTGTGTGTGTGTAGAGGGGGTTAATGGTGTTTAGCATCCTCTTCTTATTCCTTTCCTTTTCCCTTCCTTCTCCCCTGCCCTTTTTTTAAAACCACAAAAGCAAACTGAAAACAAAGGACCCCTATATCTGATACAGATTTGCAGTGCTTCTTTCTAAATAATACACTGCTTATATGCATAGCTAATATCATGATCCTCCCATTTTAGGATTTCAGATTTTATACTTTGTATGAGTAAAATAGACTAACTAGGAAAGCAGTTTATGTCAGTGGGCAATGTTCCACCTCAAACCAGATGACGTTGTTAAAACAGCTCTTCAGTGCAGTGCAAAGTGTCACTTAATAGGCTAAAGGCATCTTACATCTATAGAAACAACTCAGCACCTCTGTACTGTTGGGAATTTCCAGCTCTTCAGAAAAGGCTGAGATTTTCAAAGACCTGAAGCTTTTAATTTTGAAGGAAGGGGAAGAAGGAGGTAACATACAATGCAACAAATGGGCACCTAATTTTCCTGTTTTCACTCTTTAAAGTTCTCATATTTTTGTGCAAGTATGTAAAATGAAACAAATCCCCTACATCCAACCAGAATGTGGTACTTTAGATTTCTCAGCCTGTTCTTTTTATTTGGAAAGGGTTTATTTGGACTTGAGTTGGTAGAAGACGACTACTACAAATGGGAAAGGGGAATACTATAAAAAAAATTAAGAAAAAATGGATGCTCTCTTAACTATATCAAAACTAACATTGGCTAATTGACAGCCATTCATCCTCTAGCTCATAATCAGTGTAAGAGAAACAAAACCAGGAATGCATATGTATATTACTTATGAATAAGTTACCCAGGTCTCAAATAAAATTTTAAAAAAGCATTCTGAATAATTTTCTAAGGGATTATTGCTATTATACAGGTTTTTACTCATTTTGTGGTTAGAGTGTGTTAACAACCTCCTAATGGAGTACACTAAGAAATAGCTAGTAATGAGAAAAACAATTACCTAGTGATAACAAGCAAAGTCCCATTATAATCTCTTTGCTGGTCATAACTCCACTAATCAGCCTGTGTAAGACACTACTGTCACTGACAAAGGTGATCAGGGCCTCTGCAAACTTGGCATAGCAGGAAATGTTCACAGGAGCACAGCGATGGAAGAATGGAATAGGTGCACTGGTGACACAAGAAAAAAAAATCAGAAAAAAAAATTACTCCTACTTAATATAAATGCCACATCAACACACAAATGAAAGGTGAATAGATGCAATCATTCTATCCTTATAACATCATAACCAGAAACCATGTGTTGAATGCACAAGTGCTGCTGAAATGAGGATGATCATAATGAAAAGTGATGCAGTTCTTACAAATAACCCTGTGAGGCAGGAGTGTACATTCCAATAGGATATTATTACCCTCCCACCCTTAAATGACAAGGCACAGAAAGAATACATTCCTATTTCCACTTAAATGTCTTTCAAGCGTCAGGTGGTGAACCAGCAGCTGAAACAATGCCTTTCACTCATTTTAGAATGGAATACTGGTCCATATTTGCAGCAAAAGAAATTGCAGAATAACAATACTCTTCTTGAGAGTATATATTTTGTAAAGGACATCAGCATTCACAACTGCTGTCAAGCAAAATGAATGTATTTATTCCTAGTCTTTCCCCATACTAAGCTTGTTCTTGTATTGAATATTACAATCACAGTGTTTATATTAATTAACTTTGTTAAAACGATGCAAAACATCAAGCCTCTATTGCATGATGCAAAACAGGATGCCTCTATTGCTTTGACCATTTTGGAAAGGCCCTCACAAAAATCTATAGAGACTAACATTCTGCATTAAACTTTGCAGAATGCTCTGAAAAACCTGGTATCAAGAGAAAGATACAAGACAGCAAAAACTTTCCTTTGAAAGTGGGTAATTTTTAATTTTTTTTTTCCCATTTAGTAGCAGTCTGCGTTGGTCATAAACTATGTCAGATCTCAAAGTGGCCTATTACATCATTTGATCAATTCCCAATTACATTTCAGACATGAATTACATGTTCCTTCCTGTAACTGGATCCAATTAAAAAAAAAAAAAGTCTTTTCTATTGTTTCACCTGCCCAATCTTCCTTTCTTGAAAGATTTCAGGGGACTATGCCAGCAATAAACATAATCTTCAGCAGTTTTCCCATTTCAGCAATGATCTATAAATCAACCATTTTCTGTCCTCAATAAATATTTTTAAGGCCATGTCTTTCTAAAATTCTAACCACCACTTTAAACACGTAGTGAATAAACCAGCTGCCTTAGGCACATATTTCCCATCCACTGTTTTTCTGAGGAAAAAGGATGACATGCTGAAAATCATTAAAGTGTAACTATTCTGTAAAGAAATTGGGAGAAATTATGATCACCTGCCATTTCTAGGTAATTAATTAGTAGATTCTAGGTTTTTGTTTCAAGTCACGAATGATTGCAAATTTTATTGTTTAGGATTACTGTGATGAGTAGGTAAATGCATCTGGAGATGCTCATGTTGATGGTCTACTTTGGGGTTGGAATGAATACAGTAGTTAGGCACAACAAAGTAATTGTGCATTAGTCACAGCTGTTAAAAAACAGGCCCATAATGATGGCTGCCCTACTTAAAAGGCAGCCCATGTATCCTCTTAGCTTCTTAAAACATAACCTATTTTAGAATACGGCTGTTCATTATATGCCGTATTACTGAAAAAGACTGACATTTGAGAGGTTTATTTAATTGTTAACTGCTACAACTTTACAGAAAGCCTAGAGCATTTGTAAATTGTCACTACCAGCAACAAAGCCCAAATTTTGAGGTGGGAGAGGTAAAAGAATGTTATTCCTGCATGCATATACAAAAATATTCACTTTGAAAAGGGAACTAATGATGCAAAAAGGAACTCTGATGAAAATCCCAATGAAAAAAACCATGCTTTTTGCATCAGAGTTTATATTAGTCATCTAATATTCCTTAACCTAAAGCAATTTCACTACCTATTTTAAGTTACCTATTTTCATGTGCAGTAATTAATTGCTAAGTTTGTTTTAATTAATAAAAAATAAATAGGTTAGTGGTTTCTACAAGCTTTCTTGAGTAAATGGGATTCCTGAGAATCCACTTTTGAGATCTGCTTCTGCTCCAGTGGTTCTGTCTAAATGAGTAGGTGAGGTAAAGTGTCCCAATAAAAAACACAATAATAGATCTATTCTCTATGACCTGTGCTATTTTATATGAACTCTTGATTATATCTTGGTATATTACCTACTGAAAAGGAATTACAAATTTCTAAGAATAGCAACATGATGCTTAATCATAAACAAGAACGAATAAAGTTGAAGTCAGTAGATTATGGTCTCAGAAGCTGTACTTTTAAAGCATTATTCAAATGAAGTTAGGAGATCCATCTGATTACTCAAGTATTAGATTTCAAAGACGTTTTCCCCCTCACTACTACCCCTATGTATGTACAGGGGTAGTACAGCAACCTGTGCAAGGGGAGGAGGAGTCCAACTGGAATAACACTGCTAGCTGCTCTTTATAACCTCTACAGGGCAGTCCCTTGGCACAGCTCAGCACAGCTGATTTATAGATAAATGCTGCAGGGGACTGCACAGGTTTTCCTCCATGGTCCTCTACACATGCAGTCATGTTTACAGAGGCTGATCTAGGTGCGGTTTGGAAGAAACACATATTGCTAACTGCACTGCTAGACTCTACTGCTCTGTCAAAGCTGGACATAATATCTTGAAGACGGATAATGAGACTCCATTGACAGCCTCAGCAGAAGGCTGTGAAGAAGCCTGGTCATCAAACAGAAAACATCAAGCGACAATCTTCACATCCTATGCTACCTCCATCCTATGGAACTAATGGGAATCAGAGGGTTCATAACCCTTGACAGATTGCACTGGTTTCAGCTGGGGCAGGGTCTATTTCCTTCACAGTGGCTGGTGTGGAGTTTGTTTTGGATTTGTGTTGAACACAGGGCTGATAATGGAGAGATGTTTTTGTAATTGCTGAGCAGGGCTTACACAGAGCCAAGGCCTTTTCTGCTTTTTGCACTGCCATGCTGGCAAGGACATTGGGGGTGCATGGGAGGTTGGGAGGAGACAAAGCAAGGACAAGTGACCCAAACTGATCAAAGGGATATTCCTAATATGGCATCATGTGCTGGATATAAAAAGGGGGAAAGAAGAGGAAGAAGGGCACGTTTGAAGTGATAGTATTTGTCTTCCCAAATAACTGTTGCATGTGATGGGGCCCTGCTCTCCTGGGGATGGTTGAACACCTGCCTGCCCATGGGAAGTGATGAATTAATTCCTTGTTTTGCTTTGCTTGTGTGTGCAGCTTTCCTTCCCCTATTAAACCATCTACATATGAACCCACAAGCTTTTTACCTTCTGCCCTTCCAGTTCTCTCCCAGACCTGCTGGTGGGGAGGTGAGCAAGCGGCTGTGGGGGCCTGGGTTGATGGATGGGGTTAAACCATGACACAGATCAAATGTGACTGTTAGGTAAGTTCTTCCTGAATGCCTCAATCTACAACATGTTGGGTTTTCATTTGGTTGTCTCAATAGAATTACATTTCTCCTTCAAATTACACTTACTCAAATAAATTAACTATAAAAACCTGAAAACCACTAGTTTATAGATATAATGTTGGTCTTTTTTTGCCTTAGGGCATTAAGTTCAGACTTTTCAATCTCAAAAATGGTCAAACATATAATGTATTTTAGTAATACCATATCAAAAAGGGAAAATACTTCACCTACACAATAGTTTATTTAAAATAACATGAGGTAGTTTTTATGAGGAATTTACATAACATCATTAGAACTCTGATACATTGTTCTATCCTTCTGTTTTCTCACTAAGCTATATTCAGTGAGACTGAATGAAGTGAGAACACACTATGAGAAGTCAATATAATTCTGGCAAAAATTAGGATTAACAAGCCTTTTCAGTATGCAAGCTGGCATACTGAAATTTTCATTTGTTTTTGTATTACTGCAGTAACAGCTGGCTAGCTGCATGGAATATTAATCTATATTGGGAAAATTTTTAAAAAAGCTAACATTTCAGCTACCACTAATTGTCACTATAATACTAAAAAAAAAAAGTAGCTCAGTGGAGAAGCTACCACATATACAAGAAAGACTCAAAATCAGAGTTTGTAGAACAGACACAAATATAACATTTACAAAAAATGTAACAGAAAACTATGCATAAGAAAAGACTCTGCATAAGAAAAGACTACTGAGTATATTTGAGAAGCTAAATTTTGAGAAAACACAACATGGTTCTTCTTGAGTTAGTGCAATTACTGACAGAAGACTGTGTACAATAGCTAACAGATCACTTATTTTCTCAGCAATGCTCATCTCCACAGGTCCAAGCAGCACAGCTAGAAGAGTTTATGAAGCTATGAACTTTCCAATCCTATTTCACAAACAGCAGTGTAATGTAACACTTAAAAAATAAACCTCAAAATGATCTGTTAATAAAATACAGCCCTCTTTTTGGTATTGAACTATCCTTATACTAGTCATTTGCAGACTGAAAGATTAAAAAGTGAAGCAATTTGGATCTATCTGACTGGCTGAGGTAAGGTATAAGAAGTGAATGCTGCAGAGAGCTGTGCATCCCTACATAATTTTTCCTCCCAAAGATTAAAAATGTTCCATGATTGTCTCAGATCTGCATTGCTGATGGGCAGCTGGCTATAGATAGGGTGAAAGGCAGTAAAACAGCTGATGCTTAGAACAGTGTCAGTCACATGAGACAAGAGAATTTGAGGATATCAGCTCAATAGTTTCCGCAACATACACAGATAATTTGGGTTTTTCTTTGACTGTTATTTTCATTACCTTTTAGAAAATAGAATTTTAGAAATATCCACAATAATACACTAAAACATCTATCTGGTAAGAGTGAACATGTGTTGGTAATTTCTAAAAAACTGTCATAATCGAAACAAATCTCTGCTTCTTCCACCCCAAATCAGACAACATGATCATATTACCTCTCTGGAACAGGATATTTAGGACATAATTTGGCAGCCCTTGGGTCTGTTGTATATTCTGATGGCTGTAGTTCATAGCTACACAGAGTGGATCCTGTTGAAAAGTAAAAAAAAATATTGGTATAGAAAACAAATAAAAAACAAACACTAATATTCTTTGCAAAGAGCATTAAAACTGATACAGGTGCTAATTCTGCATCTCCTCATCTCCTCATGTCATTATCACAAAACTTTACTACAGTCCCTCCTGTAAGGTGGTAAATCAAGTCCAACACAGTTGTCAGTAGAATACAATGACGCTCTCCATCTAGCTTTAGGTTTTCCAAAGTTTGAGTATTTGAGTGGAAAAGAATAATTCACAATGTGGTATAAAAGAGGACACAAAATACCGTGAAGCACCCCCGCCCCTACTATTCCACCATGTTTTTCTTGATAATTTTTAATGTATGAACATTGCATGACACAACATTTATGACAGAAAGAGAATATTCTTGGGTTTGCAGGGTTTTTTTTTTTGTGTGTGTATTCAAAATATGACTGGTCTGTAGATTTCACGGACAGGAACAAAAAAAACCCCGAACTGAAAAAGTTAGAAAGTTGGCTGAGAAATAACAGCTCTGCATTATATATCCAAAGCTTCTAAAAAGCTGAACTCTCTCCATAAACAAATTCGTACAGCACAGTAAAGATCAAGTTGCCTACAACAAAATTCAAACATAAATGAAGTTTTCCTTAGTATCTGACACTTGCCAAATGGAAGTGCCTTACCTAGGAGAGATTTCTTTCAATTTATCTATAATGAAGACACAGAACATCTGACACAATGCTTCTAGGAAATTAGAAAGTTCCAAATCAGATTGGAGCCCTGGTATATCAGCAATTCCAGAGGTAAGGAAGACCCCAATGATATAAGCTGCCTATCCAAAGATGAATTTTCTTCCAAGCTTCTTTCCTAATAGACTGCTTACTTCCAAGTGAAAGGGCTTTTAGTGTCTTTTTCCCCTGTGCTATACACTAAGGACTTATCTTAATAAGGATTTATCTGAATCTTGATCATCAATATAACTATTCAATTCTTTCCATTATTAAAGTCCCTTCTTCAGGAATAGTTTGTAGAATAGAGTTCTGCAAGCTGGATCTGGATAATACATACACACTATTACCCAAAATAAACCAAGAATTTTGACAAACATCTTTATCTTGGCCTGCATTACACCGAACAGAACTATTATTTGTAGAATTTGTAGAATATTATTTGCAGAAATTTTATCTACCATTGCTACATTTCTACCTCTATGAAGAGGCCTCTTCTATTCACAGACTGAAAGAGCAGAGAGTCTTCTTAGCTGCTTCAGCTGCTCTCTATCTAATGCAGTCTCTGGAACACTATTAAAGCACCGCTTCTACAATGCAGTTTTTTGGAAACCAGTCCAAACCACCAAATGCACTATCGAAGAAAGACAGATCTCCTACAAAGAGAAGTTAGGAGGTGAAACATCCGAAATGCATTTTCAATTATACTGTCAATATGGATCCTTATGCCTCTGCTTGCTTATGTGGAAAACATGGCATGATATAAACATAAACAGATATTACAAAAAACATTCCTTAGATCTTAGTTGTAAATGAAGTATATAAAATGTATCTCAATCTACAGGTTTTTCTTAAAAACAGGAAGAAAAAGAGGATTGCAGATATTTACATTTATTTTGCTTTGAATATAGATCAAAAGATAAGTTATAAACATGGTTGATAGCCATGATCTTGACTACCTGAGCCAGCTGTGCCCAGGTAGTCAAGAAGGCCAATGGCATCCTGGCCTGTATCAGCAATAGTGTGGCCAGCAGGTCCAGGGCAGGGATTGCCCCTCTGTAGTTGGCACTGGTGAGGCCAGCCCTCCTATCCTGTGTCCAGGTCTGGATGCCTCCCTGCAGGAAAGACACTGAGGTGCTGGAATGTGTCCAGAGAAGGGCAATGGAGCTGGTGAAGGGTCTGGAGCAGGAGTCCTATGAGGAGTGGCTGAGGAAGCTGGGGTTGTTTAGCCTGGAGAAAAAAGACTCAGGGGTGACCGGATCACTCTCTACAACTCCCTGAAAGGAGGCTGTAGCCAGGTGGGGGCTGGCCTCTTTTCGCAAATAACAAGACACAGGGCAAGAGGAAATGGCATCAAGATGTGCCAGGAAAAGTTTAGATTGGGTATTAAGAGTAATTTTTTCACCAAAAGGTTCATCAAGCATTGGAACAGGCTGCCCAGGGAAGTAGTTGAGCCCCCATCCCTGGAAGTACTTAAAAGATGTGGAGACATGGAGCTTAGGTAAATGATTTAGTGGTGGACTTGATGATCTTAAGGGTGTTTTCCAGCCTTATGACTCTCTGGTTGTGATTCTATGGCAAGAATAAAATGCTCTATAGGAAGAAGAGGGATATGTGTTATGTGGACAAGTGTATATATATTCATAACACAGTGTTTGGAGCCAGCTTGGCCATTCTGCCAAGTGACCAGTGTGAACTACAGTTTAAGTATCTTAGGAGAAGGCCCCCACATCTAAAAAAGCCTAAGGGACAGGGCTGGTCTGTGGATGCCCATGCTCCCTTTGACTTCTAGCACTTCAAGCATGAGAGAAAAAGGACAGGATTTACTATGGGGAGGAAAGGAAACTCTTTGTACAAATGTGCATGTGAAGACCTGTTTGGATCCCAAGCGTAAATGAAGCAAAATCAAATGCCAAACCCTGATGTGCATACAGGTCACAAGCCATTCAAGTACGACCTGCAGGGTAACCCAATACACTCCTGGCTGTAGAGCAAACTGGAAACACCTTGACAGCTCCCTCTGGAAGCCAACAGTATATTCCCTAGTGCCATGCCTGACAACTCAGGCTGCCACTACTATGTCTTGCCTGGGAACTGCTTTTGAGCTACTCTGGATCTTTTTCCTTTAAATGCCTACCTCACAGCACACTTCTTTAGTCAAAGTCAAGCAGAAAAATATTTTCATGGACCTTGTCAAACAAAGGATATTAACTACCCTCCCTTTAAAGAAACTACCAGTCTCTCAGTTGAAATAACGCCCATAAGATTATTTGTCCTTTTGTCCCAAATTATTAGAAACTCTAACTATTTCCATAAATATTTATTTATTTATACTCTGAAAGCCTTCTGACTTCTCTAATACTGTGTAGGAGAGCTTTAGAGCTTAAATGTGTGCTTGAATTATGTCACTTTACACTTAAAACCGATTTCTTTACAAAAGAGTTTGCGTGCATCACTGAATAGAAGTTTGTATTTTCTAGGGTGAGAGAGAAGAATGAGAGAAGCATTGTCAAACCTTCCACTTTATATTAGTTACTCTGGGTTAGCGGAGATTAGCACAGCCAATCTTTTTGTTGCTGTTCAAGTTGGTAAGGCCAGAAAAAGTCGAAGGAAACATTTGAGTCATCTTGCTGAGATAATTAGATTACCAAAGACACTACTTTTAGCCCTAAATTAGTATCACTCAAATGTTTCAAAACCAGTATGAGCAGGATACCAAGAACAAACTAAAAGATCACTGATATAATACACCCTTTGTTTCCTACAACAATGCACATATTTCTTCTGGAGAAACCCTTAAGCAAATGACATTAAACTGTCCTACAAGGACTGGATTTCAAATCCCAACATGTTGTAACATTAAGAAAAATACTCCTAAACTATGCAGAGCATCAGTGTTTGGGCTATTGGTGAACACACAGTAGTGTGCCCAACCTCAACCTGTGTGCACACTTTGATCCCACAATTCTGTATTTGGTGGTTTCACACACAAAATTGTATCACGGAGCCATACAACCTCTTCTGCTCCATGGTTTCTTTTCAACAAATAGAATTGCTCCAGCCACTAGAATATATTGGAGCCATAACTGGAGCAAAGTACCTCAAAAGACAAACTTCCAACCTAGCTGTAGAAACTTCTTTTCTAAGTCTCCTTTCTGTTTTGCTTGGATTAATAAGGAGTAAAGAGCCATTATCTCTGGCACTCATAGAAAACAGCTATATTTTGCCCAAGTTTATATATAAAGATGGTGTAGAAAGCCAGGACTTTTACTTTAAAGATTCTTTCAAAATGAGAAGGCAAATTATTGAAGGTCTTGTGTGCTCAGAAGACACAATGCACAGAATACATAACACTGCTTTCCACAGAATGCAGTGAAAGTATTTTTATCTAACCAAAGGTGGATAGATAAAAATACTTTTAGAGACCAGAGCTCCAGTACAGCTTTCCTTCCTGTATTTGCTTTGCTGTAAACCAACAAACAAACCCCTGATAGAGCAGCATTACTATTCAAGAGTTTACTATTCAAGAGCTTCAGAAATGGCAAGATTCCTAAGTCATCCAATAAGAGGAGCAGTCCACAGAGGATACCAATGACATTTATATTCCCTGACTTATAGCAGTGGAAAGTACACAAGAGGTTTTGGATTCCATTCTGGGAGCTCAGCAGCGTCTACCCATCTATCAACACTTATTAACAGCAACTAAAACAAGGACTTCAAGATCTAGAAACATGGACTCATATTTAGAGTCAAGGACTTAAGCAGAAAAATACAAAACTGTGCAGAGATAACAGGGATAGCTCCAGTACCAGGAGCAGCACAGTCACCTTAGGAGTTCAGGAGTTGTGTTCTTTTAAGCTACAAAGAGCTCCAAGCAGCTCCACATACCCCTTCTCACCTACATGTGGCATAGCACAGCCTGAGAAACTACAAACCACAGTTTTGATAAAGTAATTTATATGAACTTCCATTCTGAGTCTGATATTGTGCATGTATTGTGACTTATGTGGCATGACACATGTGACATGTTTAATGATTTCTTTGCCTGTGTCTTTCACACTGGTGATGAGCCTAGAAGGTCTCAGTGTCCAGAGCTGGAGGATGATGGCTGGGAGAACGACAACCTCCCAGTTGACCCCAAATTTGTGTGGGATCTGCTGCTCCTGCTGGATCCTCATGTATCTATGTGGCTTCATGATGGCATTCATCCAAGAATACTCAAAGATGTTTGATGCCATTGAAAGGCCTCCCTCAATTATTTTTGAATAGTCTTGGATATCT